TAACCCAAGCTAAGTTGGTTATATCCAAACACCGAAAATATGATTTTATAAGACCCATATTAGTATTTTATTTTTCCCTCTAGTCAACGTCTTGATTTTCAAGTAGCATTTATACTTGTGTCTCATTTATTATACGAGCTGTTCGTCCAGTTTAATATTCCGTAAAACACTGATAGTGCCACGGTGGTCTAGCGGTTAGAACGCTGGCCTTGTAATCCTGGGGTCTCGGGTTCGATTCCCGGCGGTGCCCGGATTTATAACTTGTGTTGGGCAAGGCCGTGGTCTAGGCAACACGGAGTTTTCCTCCGTGGCATCCCAACAATTACTCCATTCACACACAGAAGAAGGCAATGGCAAACCACTTCTGGATCATCTGCCAAGAACGTATATGAACAGGTCCCAGTCCGAGAAAAGGATGGAAGGATCCTGTTCATATGGACCTGTCGTCAGACAGAACACTAAATAAATAAATAATAAAAACATTGATAACAATACTCTTAACAATGCAACTTCCTCGTTTGTGTCTTATTATTACTTTCTGTAGCACGCGTTCTGAATACATGGACCACGTTCCCAAGTTTTACAAGTGCCTTAAAAATGTGTACACACACATCGTTAATAATCCGTATTATAATGTGTATACATATTTTTGGCACATCCTATATATTGAAATATGGCAGTTTTGAAATGTTGACATTCTGTCGCATAGAATTATACTCGATAACTCTTTTTCAGATGCCCTCCCTCTACAATAAACACACAATTATAACATTTTATGGGATATTTATTGTGTGTTTAAAATATTGAAGCTAGAGATTGTGTGAATTTATCTCTCGTAACTATCAGATGTGGTCAGTCTGCAACAATGAACATCTGTGCACGGATGGAAATCCTCAATTGAACCCGGATCGTAAGCTGTATTTTTTGTTCTATAATTTACTAGTTACATCATTGGCTCTAGTCTGGTTATTTAATAACTCTGCAGTCAACACTCATTGTTGTTGTCTCGTCCACTTTATAGTTCAAAACACGAGCCTGACGACATTACGCGATGTTGAATTCAGCTGTCTGCTTGTTTTTACGGATTTAAGTTACAAGGTCGGCTGACCTAAGAGACATAAATTTTACGTTTTACGTTTCTTTCTTATTATTCCAGTTCTACCTTGGCTTATTTTTAAGTCGGTTAAAATACTACTGTGTTTTTTTTAATCCCCCCTTCAACTGCCTGTACGTTTTACCCTTCAGAACTTGGCGATGTGGGAAATTTTTTTAAACATTCCCGTTCACATTTCTCCAAAAGTATCTCTTTTTTTTATCGTGTTGGTATTGCAGGCCTGTCCGATTTTAATCGACATGACAAATCTACCTGTTTTGTTCTCTATAATTTTGGTCAGTGCTGACTCAGTGTACAGTTCTTACAAAGTATTTTGCATCCTTCCCAGATTCTCAAAACGGCTTGAAATACTTGAGTGGTAATCAGAAACATCAATTGGTCTTAGAAATATCATAACTTTCGTCAAATGAATCTACTCATTACGAGTAACAGTGGCATAAAGTGTTAGGAGCTCTAAAACATCTAAACCCAAGGCATTGCGGGAGTGTATAATCCGATGCAGGAGAATTCAGGTAATTCGATCGATTGGAGACACTGGTTCAGCTCTCGGGAGCTAGAGAGAGAATATTTGAAAGACGAAATTTATATTCTTGAAGATAACAGTATTAAAGATTATAATCGAGATGTGTTTTGAGTCATAATTACTGAAGGGCTACCAACCTACAGTATACTTATTTAAAAGGTGAGAATTATTCTGTTTCCCATTGTATTTTGAATGGATGAGAAAAATTCTTGAATCAACTCTTAAATATGCGTTGCTGTAATGGTAGACGGGCAGCTGAGTCATTAGTACTTGAGTGTAATTTTGCTGACGTTGAAATTGCCTGTTCTAAACCTGTAAGTCGTCATATTCTGATAGAACTGATCCAAGCAAGATGTAGAAAAAAATATTTGCTTTCTAAGACAGACACACACGAAGCGTTGTATTTTGAACAAGTAAAATTTCTTTGTGACAGGAATATTAAAAAAAATAAGATTCGATAATACTAATTATCAAACAGTATACTTCTTATCAACTTGAGTCAGAATTTTATCTCAAGGTTAACTCCGCTCGTCGACATAATTATTGCAGATTAGTGTAGTTTCGTCGAGAAAGGTCTACAGTTGATAAAATATTATGCATTTGTTACATACTCGAGAGAAGAAAGGGACTGAGGACAACAGTAAATTTCCCGTCAAAAATTACGGAGGAAATCTTAAACACGTATTTATGAATTTTTTTGTCATAAGGACCAAAATCGGTTAACATCAAATGATCATCAACCACCTCTGGCGCCTTATATTGTCGCTGAATTTATTATGCTCGTGAAATTAGTTGTAATAATTAAATTGCTTAAACGAAACCTATAGTAAATTCTGTGTCACTGTTATTTGTATCTTTTCTTGTAGCATCTCGTCTAGAAGGATTGCATGTCGTGAAACTGGATTCATCTCTGTTGTTTGTCTGGTTTCCCCTTCTCTTGCTCTGATTCTCATTGTTCGTGCGAGTTAGCACGTAATTCAGTACTTCCTGTAAATCATCAGTTCTTCTTTTTTTAAAAAAAAAATTGTACGGAGCTGAACGCGTCTCGTATGTATTTTAAAGTGTGTTGGCAACACTGTGAACCTTTCAAGCCGAAGTTCGCCTAAATAACATTTAAGAATTCAGTCCTTACCGCAAAGAAAACACAAAACTTTACCATTACAGAGATCATTTGTTCAGCGATGTTTATTTTCCTATGAAACACGTAAATACAAAACGTATCGTAGCGTTACTGAGTGTTAAAAGAGGTGGTTCTTATAGTAACCACTAATTTTTGTATTGTTTTGGCATACATGCCTTGTGGAAGATGATATAAAATGTCATGTTCTCGTGTACGATTGAAGTTTGGTTCACTGAGAGGCGTTGCCGCTAATTTATTCCTTTCTTGAGATCTAATTGGCTTCCCTTCAGTGCTTTAACGTCACTCTTAGAGCAGGTGTACAAAGTGGCTTACAATAAAGAATGAAAGAAATATACATAAAAGTCGGGCTAATAGGCCTTGAAGGTCCCTTTGCGTCATTCATCATTCCATCAACAGTGACAGTAATCCGTGTGTGATAATCGCGTACTCTGAAATAAGAGGCTGTCGTTTGTACGTGCTCTGAATTAAAACTTAAAAAACGAAGAACATTGGCAGAATGTCTGACTTTTATTCGTACCGTACACCAATCGTCACTATAAAATGTATTTAACGTCCGATACAGCGCCCATCTGTATACCGCCAACCTCGGAACATAAAATTCCCTAAATTTAAAATTAAATCTGCAGCTTGGAGGGGGTTCTGATTTTAAAATGTAAAACATTTCCGAGAATAAACTTTGTGCAGTGACAGGCCAAAATATGAGAATTCTTGTAGAATAATAACAGGTCCACTCAATTTTTGCTGTTTGACAATTATTTCCAAATATTTCTGTCATTCATGTAGTAAATCCGGTCGCTGTTTTGTTGATATTCTCAATGGGTAGTGGAGGGGAGGGACAGAGAGTAGAGAGTAGAAAAACACGTGAAAGTACGAAATGACTGAAGGTTGTCGTATTTTAAGACCTTCAGGAAGTGTTAGTTATTGGATATGACAAGTGTATTCGAACGATGTAAAGCAGTTGATGAAGCTATTATGGAACGAGCCAGGTTAATATGACGAATGTTATACAAAAAATTGGTATTTTACTTCAAAAAAAAATTGATTTATAAATATGAATACCGTATTAATATCCTGCCATGTTAAGTTAAAACAAAATAATTCACAAATGTATAGTTTTCTTTGTCCTCAAGATACTAACTACAATATTTAGCAATTTATTTGTTTAAATCTTGTCAGTCTAATCATAATAAAATTTTCTATTAAATATTAAAATATTACTATAATTAACATTTAAATATTTAAAATATATTAAATGATATTCTCTATCGAATATGTACGTCGTGCTTAACATGATTTTGTGTGGGTGAACGTTTTGTTGTTGTTTTTTGTGTCATCCTGTAAAGTAAATAATATAAAGACTAAATGAATATTAATAAATTAGAAATAGAAAATAAAATAATATATTTGATAAATTTAATTTTGAAACATACCAGAAATGAAATTGTGGAAGAGTTACGTCCGTTTGGAAGTATTGCCGTGTTTGAACTGAATAGTGTTCATTATTGATCGTGGTTGTTTGTAGGGGGGGTGGTAAGTGAAAGGAGGTTGTTGGGGGGTGGAGTTATCATCTCAGTATTTAGCAAGTTATATGTCACTTTAATATAATGATAAATAAAAACGCGTAATAATGTAGTTTAAATTTACCGTCTCCCCCGATTTAACGCCATTCTTCGCGGTATCCGAAATAGTTACACTGTGATCTTGTCGTCATTTGCCCACCTTTCAGTATAAACGACATTGAGGTTGGAAGCCGATAGCAATTGTTATCTCATTGTTGGAGTACTTTTAACAGAGAGCACCCCAGTTATTGTTGAATAATATTTTTTTCGCCATTGTTAACTGGGGCATTGTTACATAGCATTATTGCAGATGTGACCTTGGATATTGTAGGATATTAAAATGGGTTTGGAAGATATTTACTGAGTCGAGATAGGGTGGATGGCGTGTTCTACCAGGTCAGTATGAGGCCGATTGTGCATACTGCAACTCAGACCTTGACCCAGAGCCGCATACCGGTTTCAGGAGCAGCTGATGGTCGCGTGTATCAGCTG